CAGGGACCAGAGAAGAACTCAACTAAGTAGTACCATATATATATATATATATATATATATATATATATATATATATATATATATATATATATATATATATATATATATATGCAATAAGATCACAGTAAACAGGTGATTTCAGAATATGCAAAACAACCACTCTGAAAGAATAAGAGAAATTCCAAGCGCTTTCGTGACTACTCACATTATCAAGGAACTATGAAAGTAAAGCATCCAAGGAAGCTATATAACGGGTCTGGCCAGCACCTCACTATCAGATCCCACAACGGTTAAACACCTGACGCGCGCCGACCCAACTTGGATAGGTCCTTTGCACAACTCACCCCACAAACTATTCTACCCAAGAAAATTTAAAAATTATTTGTCCAGTGTATTATTAAATTCTTCCCAAATTCTATTAATTATAAATGGATCTAATTTATATAAACCAAAGGAAATATTCATATTATTGTCAAAACTGCTTTTTATGAAACAAGATTCAATTATATTCCTGTCGACCATGGACTTGCTTGATACTACTTTCTCAACTTTTTGAAAATCAATTGGATGGTTAAAATCTCTTACATGAATAAATAGAGCATTGGAATCTTGTCCAGTTCTAATGCTATATTTATGTTGTTTTAATCTTAGTTCGAGATTTTTACCAGTTTGACCGTAATAAACTTTATCGCAAATTTTACAAGGAATCTTACAGACACATCCATCAGCATTTTGGGGGGAATTCTTGATACAGTAAAAAAACTTTTGATAAAGAATTCCCCCCAAAATGCTGATGGATGTGTCTATAAGATTCCTTGTAAAATTTGCGATAAAGTTTATTACGGTCAAACTGGTAAAAATCTCGAACTAAGATTAAAACAACATAAATATAGCATTAGAACTGGACAAGATTCCAATGCTCTATTTATTCATGTAAGAGATTTTAACCATCCAATTGATTTTCAAAAAGTTGAGAAAGTAGTATCAAGCAAGTCCATGGTCGACAGGAATATAATTGAATCTTGTTTCATAAAAAGCAGTTTTGACAATAATATGAATATTTCCTTTGGTTTATATAAATTAGATCCATTTATAATTAATAGAATTTGGGAAGAATTTAATAATACACTGGACAAATAATTTTTAAATTTTCTTGGGTAGAATAGTTTGTGGGGTGAGTTGTGCAAAGGACCTATCCAAGTTGGGTCAGCGCGCGTCAGGTGTTTAACCGTTGTGGGATTTGATAGTGAGGTGCTGGCCAGACCCCTTATATAGCTTCCTTGGATGCTTTACTTTCATAGTTCCTTGATAATGTGAGTAGTCACGAAAGCGCTTGGAATTTCTCTATTCTTTCAGAGTGGTTGTTTTGCATATATATATATATATATATATATATATAAAATATATATATATATTATATATATATATATATATATATATATAAAATATAATACAAAATTCCCAGACAGGCTATCTTAACATTGCAAGACAAGCCACTTAGCTCAAGTATTTTCACACTTCTCAGTGCGTCATCAGGAGCTGTGCAATGTTGCAAAGGCAACTGGAGAAGTAGGGTGGAGGCACCCGCCGGTCTCTGTCAGAGACAAGCGGGATGCCAACCACACACCGGTCCATCCCCCCAATCCCATATTGGGTCGGGTGGAGTAGGCCAGACCACATGTTATTTAGACTGTTCACAGAGAATTATTTAGACTTAGTGATATTTGACGTTTTCAGAGGTTGTGTCGTGAGATACTATCTCTGGTCTCGAGTTCAACTCTCGACTTATTTGGAATTTAGAACGGCTGAACTCACTTTCAGTAATAAGGGAGTTTTATGCTTTCAGGGAGGATTTGCTGATGGTCCCCCAGTTAGGGTCGTTTATGTATCCTTGTTTTCTGCTGTTCTAAGCATTACTGCCGTGTATGGCTGATACAGCCCTGACACCCAAGGGTGTCCACGGTTAGGCTAGGTGTGGGATGGTTGGTACTTTGCATAAATTTGATTGACGAAGCGAATAATCAGTTTCAGTCAGGCAGACCCTTGTCATCGATACCACGTAACCAAACATTATCTTCAGCATATCGGGGTGTAAATTTGTGTATACGCTTATGTTTGTTGTCTTTTAAGCGTTCAAATTGAGTCTTCCTATTCTATGCACTATTTATGAAAATGTTCTGAGTTTATCTGCTGTTTACTGGAATATAGTTGTGTACTAGAGTCAGGGATCTCCTGCAGAAATCTCTCTCACGAGAGAAAAATTGTCTGAACGACAGTAACCTGACTTGTCTATTTCTATTTTCCAACTGTCACTCATGGCGCACACACACACACACACACACACACACACACACACACACACACACACACACACACACACACACACACACACACACACACACACACAAAGACGGGATGTTCCAGAGATGGGACACAGACACAAGAGGTCACAATTGGAAGTTGAAGACTCAGATGAATCAAAGGGATGTTAGGAAGTATTTCTTCAGTCATAGAGTAGTCAGGCCATGGAATAGCCTAGAAAGTGATGTGGTGGAGGCAGGAACCATACATAGTTTTAAGGCGAGGTATGATAGAGCTCATGGGGCAGGGAGAGAGAGGACCTAGTAGCAATCAGCGAAGAGGCGGGGCCAGGAGCTGTGACTCGACCCCTGCAACCACAAATAGGTGAGTACAAATAGGTGAGTACACACACACACACAAAAAAAAAAAAAAAAAAAAAAAAAAAAAAAAAAAAAAAAAAAAAAAAAACTCACCGAGTCTAAATCATCAAAAGCAAGTAGATATAACCTGTCATATTATTACAATCATGGGGAAGCGCTAAACCCATAGGATTAATACCTGTCATAGATCAGCAGGAGGGACCATAAAAGCTTATTACTTTATTAAACCTCTCATCCAGAAGTAAATAAGTGTGTCTTTCGTACCTTTTTCTGATTTGATCCTGGTGCTAACCGCGATAAAAAGTGCATCTTGGCACTTGGTTTCAACAGACTTTTGTCCCTCAGAAGTCCCACTGATGCCCTCAGAAGTCCCACTGATGCCCTCAGAAGTCCCACTGATGCCCTCAGAAGTCCCACTGATGCCCTCAGAAGTCCCACTGATGCCCTCAGAAGTCCCACTGATGCCTCAGAAGTCCCACTGATGCTCTCAGAAGTCCCACTGGATGCTCTCAGAAGTCCCACTGATGCCCTCAGAAGTCCCACTGATGCCCTCAGAAGTCCCACTGATGCCCTCAGAAGTCCCACTGATGCCCTCAGAAGTCCCACTGATGCCCTCAGAAGTCCCACTGATGCCCTCAGAAGTCCCACTGATGCCCTCAGAAGTCCCACTGATGCTCCTCAGAAGTCCCATGATGCCCTCAAAGTCCCACTGATGCCCTCAGAAGTCCCACTGATGCCCTCAGAAGTCCCACTGATGCCCTCAGAAGTCTTTCATCCTTCCATTCGCTCCTCGGTTATCACAAGCTTCCTGACAGTCAAAATACCTCAAACCACGATTGTTTGATTTTTACTAGTGTATTTACTGTTATATGTTCACGCTTGTTAGCTATTATTCGATTCTCTTATGGCAACTTTTTTTTTCCTGGTCACCGTCCCTCACCGGGCACCGTCCCTCACCGGTTCATGACCACCCACACTTTCACACAAGACTATAGAGTTTTCACCGTTCCTTTTCTTTTCTGTCTTTTAAGTTCTTGTTGTATGCAAGTTACTGTTGTATACCTGTATGACTGTTGTATACCTGTATGACTGTTGTATACCTATGTGACTGAACACCAATTACCGCTCACGCACTCTTACTGCGGTCCTGGGGGCACTAAATATGGAGAGTTTGTTTGTTTGTTTGTTTGTTTGTGTGTGTGTGTGTACTCGCCTAATTGTACTCACCTAATTGTGGTTACAGGGGTCGAGACTCAGCTCCTGGCCCCGCCTCTTCACTGATCGCTACTAGGTCACTCTCACTGAGCCGTGAGCTTTATCATACCTCTGCTTAAAGCTATGTATGGATCCTGCCTCCACTACATCGCTTCCCAAACCATTCCACTTACTGACTACTCTGTGGCTGAAGAAATACTTCCTAACATCCCTGTGATTCATCTGTGTCTTCAGCTTCCAACTGTGTCCCCTTCTTACTGTGTTCAATCTCTGGAACATCCTGTCTTTGTCCACCTTGTCAATTCCTCTCAGTATTTTGTATGTCGTTATCATGTCCCCCCCTATCTCTCCTGTCCTCCAGTGTCGTCAGGTTGATTTCCCTTAACCTCTCCTCGTAGGACATACCTCTTAGCTCTGGGACTAGTCTTTTGTGTGTGTGTGTGTGTGTGTGTGTGTGTGTGTGTGTGTGTGTGTGTGTGTGTGTGTGTGTGTGTGTGTGTGTGTGTGTGTGTGTGTGTGTGTGTGTGTGTGTGTGTGTGTGTGTTTTGCCTGATTAGAAACATAAATACAGTACTTTCTACTTGGATAAATTCATGAAAAAGCAAAAAAATAGTAACTTTTTTTATATCTCTTCATTATTATTATTAAAGCTGGATTTAATTGAGCACACACACACACACACACACACACACACACACACACACACACACACACACACACACACACACACACAAACCTGAAAGAATACAGCAAGTTAGTACAGTGTTATATATTGCAAGTAAAAGGTATGAACAGTGTTTAGAATTTGATAAATGCAGAATAGGACTTGGAAGTTATCCAATTAAGATAAATTAACCCAAGTGGCCCTGAATGTTTTATTATTAGATAACTTATACTATAGAAATCTGAAAGCAAACCAGAAGTTAGAAAAAACACCCAAAATAGAATTAGGACAATACAGAAGTCAAAACCACACAAAAGCATTGAGTGCCAGACCAAAAAAGAAGCAAAAAGCGCCACACGTGAGTAAAGTAAGATGGCGCAGCTTCCACCACCACTATAAGTCCATCACCATCACCAACAGGCACCAACATAAACACATACTATAAATATCTATGTGTCTGCCGTAAGCATCCACACTAATGCAGTAATGTGCGTCGATCCAGATCTCCTTCTGGTCGGTGTCACAGACGGAGAGGTCAGAGATGTTCTCCCTGCAAGAGATGTTATCCCAAGGGGACTTGGTGACACCCCCGAGGATCCGCGTCTCGAACAACAACTCTCCCTTCTGCGTGAAGTTAAATTTTCCAGCGACAGGGCACTTGACGGCCACCGGGTCCTTAGCTGGTGGACAGTGGGGGTGAATTAGTAAGGTTTTCCCCTCTAGCTGGTGGACAGTGGGGGTGAATTAGTAAGGTTTTCCCCTCTAGCTGGTGGACAGTGGGGGTGAATTAGTAAGGTTTCCCCTCTAGCTGGTGGACAGTGGAGGTGAATTAGTAAGGTTTCCCCTCTAGCTGGTGGACAGTGGGGGTGAATTAGTAAGGTTTTCCCCTCTAGCTGGTGGACAGTGGGGGTTAATTAGTAAGGTTTTCCCCTCTAGCTGGTGGACAGTGGGGGTGAATTAGTAAGGTTTTTTCCCTCTAGCTGGTGGACAGTGGGGGTGAATTAGTAAGGTTTTTTCCCTCTAGCTGGTGGACAGTGGGGGTGAATTAGTAAGGTTTTCCCCTCTAGCTGGTGGACAGTCTGGGTGAATTAATAAGGTTTTCCCCTCTAGCTGGTGGACAGTGGGGGTGAATTAGTAAGGTTTTCCCCTCTAGCTGGTGGACAGTGGGGGTGAATTAATAAGGTTTTCCCCTCTAGCTGGTGGACAGTGGGGGTGAATTAGTAAGGTTTTCCCCTCTAGCTAGTGGACAGTGGGGGTGAATTAGTAAGGTTTTCCCTCTAGCTGGTGGACAGTGGGGTTGAATTAATAAGGTTTTCCCCTCTAGCTGGTGGACAGTGGGGGTGAATTAGTAAGGTTTTCCCCTCTAGCTGGTGGACAGTGGGGGCGAATTAGTAAGGTTTTCCCCTCTAGCTGGTGGACAGTGGAGGTGAATTAGTAAGGTTTCCCCTCTAGCTGGTGGACAGTGGGGGCGAATTAGTAAGGTTTTCCCCTCTAGCTAGTGGACAGTGGGGGTGAATTAGTAAGGTTTTCCCCTCTAGCTGGTGGACAGTGGGGGTTAATTAGTAAGGTTTTCCCCTCTAGCTGGTGGACAGTGGGGGTGAATTAGTATGGTTTTCCCCTCTAGCTGGTGGACAGTGGGGGTGAATTAATAAGGTTTTCCCTCTAGCTGGTGGACAGTGGGGGTGAATTAATAAGGTTTTCCCTCTTAGCTGGTGGACAGTGGGGTGAATTAATAAGGTTTTCCCCTCTAGCTGGTGGACAGTGGGGGTGAATTAATAAGGTTTTCCCCTCTAGCTGGTGGACAGTAGGGGTGAATTAATAAGGTTTTCCCCTCTAGCTGGTGGACAGTGGGGGTGAATTAGTAAGGTTTTTCCCCTCTAGCTGGTGGACAGTGGGGGTGAATTAATAAGGTTTTCCCCTCTAGCTGGTGGACAGTGGGGGTGAATTAATAAGGTTTTCCCCTCTAGCTGGTGGACAGTAGGGGTGAATTAATAAGGTTTTCCCCTCTAGCTGGTGGACAGTGGGGGTGAATTAGTAAGGTTTTTCCCCTCTAGCTGGTGGACAGTGGGGGTGAATTAATAAGGTTTTCCCCTCTAGCTGGTGGACAGTGGGGGTGAATTAATAAGGTTTTCCCCTCTAGCTGGTGGACAGTAGGGGTGAATTAATAAGGTTTTCCCCTCTAGCTGGTGGACAGTAGGGGTGAATTAATAAGGTTTTCCCCTCTAGCTGGTGGACAGTGGGGGTGAATTAGTAAGGTTTTCCCCTCTAGCTGGTGGACAGTGGGGGTGAATTAGTAAGGTTTTCCCCTCTAGCTGGTGGACAGTGGGGGTGAATTAGTAAGGTTTTCCCCTCTAGCTGGTGGACAGTAGGGGTGAATTAATAAGGTTTTACCTTGAACACAACATCAAAACTTGTACCCCAAAATAATGCTAAATGTCCTATAGTCTAGTATATGAAAACTCAATGCATTTAATATAACTAATTTTTATTATTTTTTATTTTTGAAAATATTTTGCAGAAATATGATGCAATTCAGGAATAAAACTAAAATAAAGGAACTATTTATCAATTCAAGAAACACTGAAGACACTGCTTGTACCAACCATCAGAACCTGAAAGGTTACAATGACTGATTAATTGCAAGTACAGTGGACCCTCGGTTAACGATATTTTTTCACTCCAGAAGTATGTTCAGGTGCCAGTACTGACAGAATTTGTTCCCATAAGAAATATTGTGAAGTAGATTAGTCCATTTCAGACCCCCAAACATACACGTACAAACGCACTTACATAATTGGTCGCATTCGGAGGTAATCGTTATGCGGGGGTCCACTGTATTCCCAAGTATATTCAGAATGTGGTATAAACCTTGGTAATAAATACCGACAAGTTGGTTTAGGAAGACACGTAAGCAAACACTATAACATATTTATTAGAAAACGTTTCGGTCCTGGGACCGAAGTGATCAAGGTCCCAGGACCGAAACGTTTTCTAATAAATATGTTATAGTGTTTGCTTACGTGTCTTTCTAAACCATATTCAGAATGTACATCAACCATCTGTGTTGAACATGCAGCTCCTGGCACCGTTCCCCGCTCCTGGTGACTAGCAATTACCTTTTCCTCTCATAATATAGAAGCTTCATGTGTATATATATATACACAGACACCTCTCTTGGTTCAAACTATACATCTGCGTTATGTACACGAAACAAGGAACCCCCAGATATACCCCTAATGACTTAATTTTCATCTTGGTAAACTTGAAGTTTACTTTAGCCTATCGAAGTTGCCATAAGCAAAAAATATGTAAATATTTTTAGTTCCTATTGAAAGTAACTATTGTGTAAGAGACTTACCTAGCAAAAGGTCGTACCTCCACTCCCTGCCACTCTTAAACTGGAGGTACGAACAGACGGTGGAAAAGTCCTCCCGAATCATTTCCAGACCCTTTCGGAACCTAATAATATTGTGGTGACGGGGCACGAACTCGAAGCATACGTAATCCTTCTGACTGTAGTCACAAAGAAAATTTTTTGGTTAAGAAAAGTAAACTTCCAAATTTAGAAAAAAATAAGTGCAGTAAATGAGGGGGGGGGGTACACGGTGACAAATAACAGTGGTTAATTCGTGGAACATTAAATAAAATAATCCCACTTCTGACACCAGTTCTCAGAAGCTGGTGGATCCATATTAAATCACAGGCTTAGATTTAAAAAAAAATATACTTTACATGTCAAAAATTATTTTTTTTATCCTTAACACATTTCACTGCCTAATTCAAGCAGTATTGAGACCTCGACCTGACTGAGTTTGCGTTGTACTGCAGGGACAAGCTCAGTCAGGTGGACCTCTCAATTCAAGCTCGAAGTCGATGACATTTCCTTAATGTTCTGCTCTTCAAAGCTGACCAGGAGCTTCATCGTCACTTCATCAGAGAACGCAGATGCCATGCCCATATCAAATCACCTAGACGTGATACCTCCCAAAGAAGATAAAGTCCTTCTTACAAACTCCTTTGTCAAAAACGTTCTCAACATTCTCTCCAACACCGTATTTCATGAAACTGCCACAACGTCCACTACAAAGACATCACCAGTAAGGGGCACTAACAGTTTCAATCCTCTGCAGGGGTATATATAATCTCTTGCAACGATTACAACTAAAACGTGCGAAAATATCCAGAGATCTTCAAACACGTATTTCTGAACATAAATACGCCAGCAGAACGGAGAACTTGAAGAACGCCTGCGTTTTACAAAAGGAAATTCCCTCAACCATTTAATGACAAAGACGCACGACTCATCGCCAAGGAGAGACCCTGAGACGCAGGATCAGGGTGCCCCTGGAGAAGAGGTAGTGGTACCCCGGGGGGAGAGGTAGTGGTACCCCGGAGGAAGAGGCAGTGGTGCCCCTGGGGAAGAGGTAGTGGTGCCCCTGGAGAAGAGGTAGTGGTACCCCGCCCCGGGGGAGAGGTAGTGGTAACCCCGGGGAAGAGGTAGCGGTGCCCCTGGAGAAGAGGTAGTGGTACCCCGCCCCGGGGGAGAGGTAGTGGTAACCCCGGGGGAAGAGGTAGCGGTGCCCCGAGGGAAGAGGTAGTGGCGCCCCAGGGGAAGAGGTAATGGTGCTCCGAGGGAAGAGGTAGTGGTGCTCCGAGGGAAGAGGTAGTGATGCCTCGGAGGAAGAGGTAGTGGTACCCCGGGGGAAGAGGTAGTGGTGCCCCGGTAAAGAGGTAGTGGTGCCCTGAGGGAAGTAGTGGTGGTGCCCCGAGGGTAATAGGCAGAGGCGCCCCGGGGGAAGATGTGAGGTTCCCCGGGGAAGAGGTAGAGGTGTCTTGGGAAAGGAGGTTATGGTATCCCGGGGTAGGAGATTATGGTATCCCAGGATAGGAGGTTATGGTACCCCAGGATAGGAGGTTTTGGTATCCCGGGAGAGGAGGTTCTAGTACCCCAGGATAGGAGCTTATGGTATACCTGGATAGGAGGTTATGGTACCCCGGGGTAGGAGGTTCTGCCGCGTGGTAGGATGCAATGGTACCTTGGGGAGGGAGAGGTTGCAGTGCCCTTGGAGAGCATATACTGGTACGTTGCCAGTTAATGTTTACTAAGACACATTAACCCGAGACCGTGGGAAGAGACCCATGGTCCCGGCGAGGCAGTCTGCTTGTGCAGGCAAGAAATATCCACAAGTAACCAGTATTTAGGACCAAGAAGCTTATGACGACGTTTTGGCTCGTCTTGGACTGACCCTTCTTCTAGTCTTCACAGACACCGTCTCGTTCAATCCTCCCTTACACACAAATTTCCTAATATGAATCTTAGTCCTGGCTTTGTCACCGTAGATGCTTTCCTTTTTCGTTACACTGTCAAATGCTTCACATTTCAGAACACTCGTGACTTGACCTGATCTTTATCTCATCCTCTAGCATTTTTCTTTGCCTTTCCCCCTTTTCTTTTTCCTGTCCAGGTGAGTTCTATCCTAGCTTCCCCTTTCCTGTGTTCTTGGTCCTACCCTAGTGGGCCATTTGCTCTCCTGCAGTGTTCCTTTTGCTTGTCTGTAGACTTCCTGCACTACTTCTATTACTACTGCTCCTATAACTACTACTATTCCCTTCACTCTTACTATTATCACTACCCCTACCTATTACTACCCGTCTCTGCCCTCCTCTCGTATATATACAGGGTGATTACAAAAACACTCCCTGATTTCCAACAGGTATAACATTTAACTATTATAATAATCTTTCACAATTAATAGCTTCAGATGTAGGATTTCCTTCAGCTTCATGTGGTATAGTGTAGCATTAAAGGCACTTAATGTGCGCTCCTCTGGTTGCTCGGCAAACATCGATGTGATAGTCCAGTTCGGTCCAGACGCTCTGCAGCATAAATGGTGTTATCATGTGAACTGCTTCAGTGATTGAAATTTTCAGATCACGTCTGGACCGAACTGGACTAATACATCGATGTTTGCCGAGCAACCAGAGGGGCGCACATTGAGTGCCTTAATGCTACACTATACCACATGAAACAATGAAAAACTGCATCTGAAGCTACTAACTGTGAAAGGTTATTACAATAAAGTTACATGTTATACCTATTGGAAATCAGGGAGTGTTTTTGTGAACACCCTGTGTATTGGCTCCCTCCCTTCGTTCTCCTGTGTAACTAGTTAATGGTCACAAGTCCTACCGAAACATCGTCATAAGCTTCCTTCTCTTACATGCGAGTTAACTGTGCATTGTTCCAGTCACGGTATTGTACTTTTTTACTGAAGTAACATTATAGCTTTCTTTAATTATATCTAGTTTCTTGAGATAATATAAATAAACACAGGTCTCCAGCACGTACCAGCCGTCAATGTTGAGCCTGGCCATCATGTATCTGTTGTCCCGCTGTTCCCTGCATACGTAGATGGTCCTCCTGAAGCGCCCTTCATCAGGGTAAGTCGTCTCAATGATGTGTGTTTGGTTGATGAAGACGTCGGCTTCCGTATGGGCTGTGTTCATCCACTCTCCGCTGAAGTTTTTAGGCAACAGACACCCAGCATTCACCGTCTCCTGCTTGACTGTAGAAGGGTTGCTTGCATGAAATGTTACTGTGGATGAATATGCCAGCAGGTGAATAATTCAGGTACGAGGTGTGAATGATAAAGAAACATGGGTATGAACATCCAGGACGAGAACGACGAGAACTCTCCTACCTTAAGAGGCAGGAGAGTGATGGATGGGAAGGAGGCTGTGTACTGGATGAAGGCCAGGTGAAAAAGCAGTGTATTTTATGAGTGGTAGATGAGGGAAGTTGTAGTCGTTTCACAGTCGTCGGGATGGAGGATTGTATTAAGTTCAACTAATGGGAAAATTTTATGGAGTGTGAGATAAGCAACATTTACAAAATGATTCAGGCAAACTGGTTAGCCGGGCTAGAGTCCTGGATATAGTGAGTACAGTGCCTGCACTCTGGCGGAGGGGTAGGGTTGTTACAGTGCCTGCACTCTGGCGGAGGGGTGGGGTTGTTACAGTGCCTGCACTCTGGCGGAGGGGTGGGGGTGTTACAGTGCCTGCACTCTGGCGGAGGGGTGGGGTTGTTACAGTGCCTGCACTCTGGCGGAGGGGTGGTGTTGTTACAGTGCCTGCACTCTGGCGGAGGGGTGGTGTTGTTACAGTGCCTGCACTCTGGCGGAGGGGTGGGGTTGTTACAGTGCCTGCACTCTGGCGCAGGGGTGGGGTTGTTACAGTGCCTGCACTCTGGCGGAGGGGTGGGGTAGTTACAGTGCCTGCACTCTGGCGGAGGGGTGGGGTTGTTACAGTGCCTGCACTCTGGCGGAGGGGTGGGGTAGTTTACAGTGCCTGCACTCTGGCGGAGGGGTGGGGTTGTCACAGTGCCTGCACTCTGGCGGAGGGGTGGGGTTGTTACAGTGCCTGCACTCTGGCGGAGGGGGTGGTGGTGTTACAGTGCCTGCACTCTGGCGGAGGGGTGGTGTTGTTACAGTGCCTGCACTCTGGCGGAGGGGTGGGGTTGTTACAGTGCCTGCACTCTGGCGGAGGGGTGGGGGTGTTTACAGTGCCTGCACTCTGGCGGAGGGGTGGGGTTGTTACAGTGCCTGCACTCTGGCGGAGGGGTGGTGTTGTTACAGTGCCTGCACTCTGGCGGAGGGGTGGTGTTGTTACAGTGCCTGCACTCTGGCGGAGGGGTGGGGTTGTTACAGTGCCTGCACTCTGGCGGAGGGGTGGGGTTGTTACAGTGCCTGCACTCTGGCGGAGGGGTGGGGTAGTTACAGTGCCTGCACTCTGGCGGAGGGTGGGGTTGTTACAGTGCCTGCACTCTGGCGGAGGGGTGGGGTAGTTACAGTGCCTGCACTCTGGCGGAGGGGTGGGGTTGTCACAGTGCCTGCACTCTGGCGGAGGGGTGGGGTTGTTACAGTGCCTGCACTCTGGCGGAGGGGGTGGTGGTGTTACAGTGCCTGCACTCTGGCGGAGGGGTGGTGTTGTTACAGTGCCTGCACTCTGGCGGAGGGGTGGGGTTGTTACAGTGCCTGCACTCTGGCGGAGGGGGTGGTGGTGTTACAGTGCCTGCACTCTGGCGGAGGGGTGGTGTTGTTACAGTGCCTGCACTCTGGCGGAGGGGTGGGGTTGTTACAGTGCCTGCACTCTGACAGAGGGGTGGGGCTCCTACAGTTCGGGGATATTATTCGAACTGCGATGTTTGCGCCGTATCCTTCCCCGGTGTGATATCCTGAAACTGGGCCTCCGATTTCTGTTTATGAATATAGGAGTATTCGAACCCTAGATCTGTCAGGAGAGACTACCCTCTATGGAGACCACGTGGTGATTTTTTCCATGGCACTTGACCTTTGGCTAGAATTAGGGAAGGAGGTGGAGGCTTTGAATAAACTCAGGGAAAGTAGCTCAGACATAACTTGGATGGGCAGTGCTCGGAGCTGTGTGTGAGAACTTGGTGGCTGGACACTGTCGGGAACGGAGTTAAGGTTCTATGTGAAGTCTGGGACTGATCTACTAAGGACTATTTTATAGTTAGTGAATATTATATTTAGTTAGCTAATTGTATTCCCCCTTCTCAATTATCTTGTGTCTTATCCAGTTCCCTTAGTATTAAATCCCTTTATTTGATCCCTTAGTATTAAAACCCTTTATTTGATCAAGTATATTGTTGCAGTAAGTGTTTATAAGTTGTGTTAAATATTGTATTCACATTCCCCATCTTTAATTTATTGTTCTGTGCAAGACTGATTTGTGTGTAACTGGTTAATTGGAATTTAGAAAGTCCCTAATAATGTGTAGTGAGGTGAGGTGGTGACATCTCATTAGTTACCATAGTAAGGAAAACATATGTTAAGAGTTACCGCTGTTACTTATAAGCTCGCGAGATCGACTACCCAGTGTAACTTAAATACGTGTAATCTCATACGACTGTATTCACGTAAGCAAGTTTTCAAATAAATTTCTCACATACGTACTAAACCACGGAACGGGTGGGAAACGAACCCATGGTCTTGAATTTTAGGACTCTTATGCCAAGGGTTCAATCCCCTCCCATTCGGTGGTTTCTTTGCAATTGCGCTATTACAAATTCGTGACTTACATACGTACATTCTCACACCGGTAAAACAGCTACCGAATGATTTTTTCTCTCATTTTTTATGGGTCAACATACCTTGGTGGGAGACAGCTGGTTCACTAAGAAAACCATAAGAAAAACTGGCAAGTATGTAGGTTTGGCAACAAAACTTGTTTACACGTCTTAAACAAGGTTTAAAACCTGTAAAATTTATTACCGTATATAATATGCACGAGTATCACAAAATCGCTACAGAAAATTAGTAGCATTAAGAAAAACATAATCCGAAATATTAAAAATCTCATAAAATAAAGGCAACTGAGGCTATATAATTTTTGTATTATCCCTAACATTTCAAGTTTTTTTTAGGTGACTGGACAATTTTCCGGGGTAGTAATTTTCGAAACTAAAGTAATAAGCAAGTAGTAAAGTCTTTTTTCAGAAATAAATTAGCGCAGCTTGGACGCGATGGTGCTGATTGAAAAAAAAATTCCCGGTATTTTCTGTTATTTTATAGAAACAATTTATGAATTATACCTTTCAGTTTATATCAAATATTTCAAAAATTATTAAAATTTATCGAAAATTTTGTAATGGAATTTAATTAATAACAGGTCCATAACCATATATCTTTTTAAAAAAATTATAATATATTTTATATAAATATTTTAATATATATATAAAATATATATATATATAAATATATATATTATATTATATATATATATATATATATATATATTATTTTTTTATCACACTGGCCGTTCCCACCAAGGGTTGGGGGGCCCGAAAAAGAAAACTTCACCCATTCACTCCACACTGCTTGCCAGAAGGTGTTTTTACACTACATTTTTTAAAACGCAACAAACCCCCCCTTTCAGATGGCCAGACACTGTACTTCCCACTCCGGGACTAAAGCCGGCCTCCGGTTTCCCGAACCCCCTTCAAAAATTTACTTTGCTCCACTCCAACAGCACATCAAATTTTTAAAAACCATTTTTCCCTTCACTCCTATAAACAACTCACGCATGTTGCGGGAAATCCAAGCCCCTCGCAACAAAAATCCTTTACCCCCTCCCCCCCACCTTTCCTAGGGCCCACCCCTACCCCCCCTTCCTTTCCCCTACGACTGATACACTCCCGAAGTCATCTGTTTCGCTCCATTCCTCTACAGTCCGAACCCCCCCAACAACCCTTCCTCAGCCCTCTGGACAAAAATTTTGGGAATCCCCACCCCTCCAACTTCCAAACTACGAAATTTTCTGCATTAATTGCACCACCATTTCCCTCAGACATACATCTCCACTGCCCCCGCCCTTTTCCCCTGCAACATTCATCACCCACTTCACACCCCCCTAAAGGTGTTGGGAAAACTATACCCCCAAACATTTTCCCCCTTTTCCTCCAAGGACGAAGTTCTTTGTTTCCCCAGACTCCTAAGTGCATCACTCACCCTTTTCCCCCTCATCAATTCTATGATTCACCTCATCTTTATAGAACCCATCCGCTGACACGTCCACTCCCAAATTCTGAATACATTCACCTCCTCACATACTCTCTCCCTCCAATCTGATATCCAATCTTTCATCACCTAATCTTTTTATCCTCATAACCTTAACTCTTCCTGTATTCACTTTTAATTTTCTTCTTTTGCACACCCTACCAAATTCATCCACCATCTCTGCAACTTCTCTTCAGAATCTCCCAAGAGCAAAATCACACATCCTTGTCTAAGGCCTACTTTTACTGGGAAATAATTTCCCTCTTTTCCTACATACTCTAACTTGACCCTTACTATCCTCGTAAAAACTCTTCACTGCTTTCAGTAACCTACCTCCTACACCATACACCTGCAACATCTGCCACATTTGCCCCCCTATCCACCCTGTCATACGCCTTTTCCAAATCCATAAATGCCACAAAAACCTCTTTACCCTTATCTAAATACTGTTCACTTATATGTTTCACTGTAAACACCTGGTTCACACACCCCCTACCTTTCCTAAAGCCTCCTTGTTCATCTGCTATCCTATTCTCCGTCTTGCTCTTAATTCTTTCAATAATAACTCTACCATACACTTTACCAGGTATACTCAACAGACTTATCCCCATAATTTTTGCACTCTCTTTTGTCCCCTTTGCCTTTATACAAAGGAACTATGCATGCTCTCTCCCAATCCCTAGGTACCTTACCCTCTTCCATACATTTATTAAATAATAGCACCAACCACTCCAAAACTATATCCCCACCTGCTTTTAACATTTCTATCTTTATCCCATCAATCCCAGCTGCCTTACCCCCTTTCATTTTACCTACTGCCTCACGAACTTCCCCCACACTCACAACTGGCTCTTCCTCACTCCTACAAGATGTTATTCCTCCTTGCCCTATACACGAAATCAACAGCTTCCCTATCTTCATCAACATTTAACAATCCTCAAAATATTCCTTCCATTTCCCAATACCCCTAACTCTCCATTTAATAAAAT